TTGTTGGAACTTCCTCGATCCAATCGAGATCTCGATATACAGGGTCTAAGCTTGACTCAACGTACTTGTATATTCTATGATCATAACTCGTGTGTGAACACCTCGGTGTACTTTCTACTCACAATTCTTCCGCTCTAACCGCCTATGAGTCACGCCATTGTTACTCAGCATTTGTAAGAGTTGCATGAACCAAACAGCATTAAAGAATCCACAGTGTCACGGCTCTGAAAGTTTGCAATCACCTTTCGTGCGTGCGTCCTTAGAATCTCAATTTAATGTGAGTCGTTTAAGAAAGGAAGTAGTATACTCGTCACGAGGAAACAATCACTTTTTGGGTAATGACGAATATACTCGTCGTGTTAAAAAATAAAATACCTTTTGTTATAAAAATTGAAATTTTAGTTAAAATTGAAAAATATGTTTTATTCTTTATTAGAATAAAGGAATGAAATGGTGTAAGGTTTTCATGTAGGCATGTGAATTTTTTCTATTTTCTTTAACTACGAATTTTTTAAGTTTGTATTAATAGTATTTATTATATTATAAATTCTGGAACAGTAAAATTCATGGTTTTTTAAATAAATTAACGCGTAGTTTTTGCTATTTTGTTATAATTTAATAAAATTTACAGTAGATGCATGTACTCTGCCTTTGAAGAGTATACTCGTCATCGTTCGATTTTAATTACACACGCAGATACACATTTCCAAAATATAATTTCATTGTTAAAGGGTTTAAGTACGTATGAGGAAAATGAATTTAATGGTAGTATGCAAGTACGCGGATTGAAGGATTAAAAATGGCGCAAGATAAAGTGCACGCTGTTTTCTTATACGGCATAACGAGTGTTCTTTATATCGATAGATAAGGAGAAAGGAGAAGAGCATCCAAATATGGAGAACACATGCAAAGTGCATACCATTTAGCTACGGATTCTTACAAAACACTAAACCTTCGGATATTTTGCCTTTCAGCACAAGTTATTGCCAGTTCGTTCGACTTCTACAAGACGGTAACACTGATTGAAATCTGTGTTTATAATAAAAGTAGGCAGTCACGTAGAAACTAGGTTTCTAATTCTAACCAATGTCTATGGTTCGATATTTGAACTGTATAACTTATTTTAATTGTTTTAAACCCCATCAGTCTCTTGTGTCAATTTGACCATTTTTCTTCTAAGAAATTATGTTATGCTGTCATGTATAGGTAGTTGAGGCTCTGTGACTTTTATTTGAAAGAATTTGCAAAAACTATTTATCTTTCCGTTAGATTAACTTTTTACCAGTATGTCAATTTGACATCGAGGAACAATTTAAGTTAGGAAAATGAGGGATGGAGGAGGGTTAAACTGGGTAATTTATTTTAATTGTCTTAAACTTTGAGGATTAAAAAATCTCTTCTTCAAATATAATAATTAAAATTTATAAATATCTCATTTATTTGAATCCAAGTCTTTAATTAACTGACAACGACATTTTTATTACTCTCTATTTAATACGGTGAAGGATTCAGTGATAAAAAGCTGAGAATTTATGAAATTCCGTAACTTAATATAATTCACAGATGTCAATGTATGTATGAAACAAATTTTACTTAGGATTGAAATTTCAAATAACTTCACTAGCTGTTAGAAAGAAAAATGTGTGTTTTGGAAGAAGTATTTCAGGTGAAAGGGAAAGTATCATGAGCGACATCACGTTTCTTTCAAGGTTAAGATTTAGAAATTTCAAAATAAATACGAATTTCTTTTACGTTTGTGTATTCAACACATTCGCCATTATAACAGTTACCGGTGATCGACATCGAGCATTTTAATGTAAAATTATCCAACCGACGTCAACGGAAAGTCGGCAGATTATGTTAACGCATTTTATGGAACTGGGACTTCTGAAGTGTCTGTATTATTAATAACGAGATACAAAAATATTTTTAACAAAACTGGTTTGCAAAAGTTGGGTCAAAATCATTTTTTCAGGAATTTGAAAATTCACGACATAGTGTTCTATGTAACATTTTAACTGATGAATCAATTAATTAGTTATTACATTAAAACTTTCTATTTACAATTCTTGTACATAACAACGAATAAGATTGTATATTTCATAAAGCAATATGTTCACATCGATCGAACTTAAATATTTATTCTATTCCTATTTAATATTCCCAATTTTTTTGACGCGATTTACAATTATTGTAAAGATTGTTATGTACTACATTCTTGAAAAACACTATCATCTTTTATTATTTTGCTGTATCAAACAATGTTATTAACGTCGCGAATAAATAGCATGAAACTTAATTATTTTTTAGGTTCAGATACACAAAACGAGTAAATAGAGAATGAATTTAATGAATTGAAAACGGTCCCCGATATCTTTCTTTAGATACTTTTTTACAAAACAGATGTTAAGAACGGAGACATATTTAGAATGCAGACTGGGAGGCAGTTTAGTCTCGACGGATTAAAAAATCAAATGTTATAACACCATAAAAGTGAAATCCGAAACATCAAAGATTTTGTAATAGATTCTCAAATCCCAACTGTACACGGCGAACTGTAAAGTGTAACGGAAAAAGAAGTTCTTTTCCTCCTACAAAAGGTAATCATTTTCCGGTGAAAATTCCAGAACATTTTTGTTCGAACGTTTGTACTGAACTATATTACTGGGTTGTCCAAAAAAGTAATGTCGAATTTCTGCAATAGATGGTGCTTTTTGATTTCAATTCAAAGCACTGATCCTAACTACATAACAAACATACACAGACTCCTGTAATTTGGAAACAGCAATGAAATTTACAAATTTGTACACAATTCATATTTAAGTACTATCAATATAATAATCATTATGAATAGTAATCATTTATGAAACAATTTGTGGGTCATTGTAGATACATATTCCGAAAACTGACGTTGAAAAAAGTTGCATTGACCTTGTGAAAATTAGTGATGAGAGGGTGAGCGAGCAATTATGCTTTTTGATGTTTGTTTTACACCATGCATAGAAGAAATCGGTTTTGTCGTTTGTGCTGTGTTTTTTCCTTCCCGGAAATGAAAAAGCATAGTTCCTCGAAAGTATGTACATCTTGTCGCTTGTTTTCAAAACAAAGTCAATTCTATAAAATGAAACCCAATCCTAATGATTTTTTTTTAAACACTTCGTTCAAGTGTCAGCTTTCAGAATATGTGTATATTTTATTAGTTAGGAACAGTGCTTTGTATTGAATAATAAAAACAGGATCACCTGCTGAATAAATCTGACATATTTTTTGGGCAAGCCAATAATCTTAATACAAAAAAGAATTATTGCAACACTAAACTTTGAAAATAATAGCATTGATCGAATTAGAATGTTGAAGTTGATCTTTCTTTGAGTCAGGGTAACGTTTCTATAGTCTAATCACGTAGGTGTAAGTGTTTGAAATTATTCTTGTAAATAAATATAACATAAATACTACGTTTCAAGCACTTCGTGTTTCTTATCAAAGTTTCAAAGCAAAAATAACAAAATCAATGCAATAAGAATTTGCACCAGCGAAACCATGTTTCGTCTGTTCGTTTTGAAATTTACCATTCCTTCATAACCAATTTACACAGTTATAAATTATTTCTCACTTTGCAATTATTAGGAAAGAGAATTAAGCAGTCAAAAATAAGGGATACGTATTTTTTTTATCGGCTGAGACGCGACTTTAAGGGATGAAACCACCCCTCGAAGTTTCGGTCCGAAATTTTTTTGTTATAAGCAAATTATATTTTGGACAATTTATTAACACATAACAATATATACAATTTATAAACAACCGCAAACCTCGTGCATTAGAAGTTTTCATGTATTTCCTCTGGTTTTCGATATAGTACTTTCGGGTCGAAGTTCACCAGGGTGGTTTCACCCCTTAAAGTCGCGTCTCAGCCGATAAAAAAAATACGTATCCCTTATTTTAGACTGTTTAACAGACATACGAAGTTTCATCAAAATCGGAGGCAGACACTTCCGTACCTTCTCTTGTTAGTCAGAAATGAGAAAATCGTTGTCTGGCAGTTTGGACACGCTACGTTTGGCGACATTATAGTGTCAAAGTTGTAAAAAAATTACAATACCCTTACATCATTTGATTACGACTAAAACTTATTTTGGTAATATTTTAATTCTAAAAAGTGGTAAAACATTTGTGTGGCTGCACACCGACGTTGCTAAACTTGTCTGGCAAAGGGTTAATGTTGTACAAATATTACAATACCCTTACATCATTTGATTATTAGCTGACAGTTTAACCTCTAAAATAATTTTTTTTTTATTTTTTGACATCGCGGGGGTATTAATGAACAAATCAGATGAGAACTACTGAAAACTGCATCGTGTGTTACAAATGTAACTTATGGGCACATGAAAAATGCAGCAGAGGTGATAATTAGTTTTTATTAGCACTCTGTTCGCGATAACCTCATGCACTATTCGTGATTGCTCCACGGCAGTCGGATAATCACAAATACCAAGGGTTTTGTTTTTGACTAAAAAGTTGATTTTTATTATAATTTTTCGATAATTAGTTATAGTAGTTTGTAGATGAATAGATTACGTATGATTATAAGTAATCAGCAAGTTCGTTTCTCACTCAGCTTTCGTTCTGTTTGTTTTTTTTGCTTAGGTGTTCGTAATTACCCGACTCTCCCCTATCATTGAATTTCTGAAGAAATTCTACCCTAAAAATTAATGTTATGCGTTCAATTTTCTTTTATTCTGTTGAAGTTCGTAATCATGGAAAGTTCAAAATCCCCAATTTGCACTAGTGTGACGTTTACATATGCTGAGGTGGGGTGGTGGTTTCTGTGGGTTAAGAATTTAATGAAAATGAAAATTCTTAGAAAAATTTCGAAATCAGTTAAATTGCACCACGCTTCGAATAACACTGATTCGAGACGCCCAATAAAATAACTATCAGAGTCTTAATTTCAGAATGGAAATAAAAAAATGTTGGATGTATATTTGTTTTAGACTTACCGGTATCTGGACGAACGTCCCATTGTTTAGCTGAGGATACGAGTATAATGGCACCACGGGGACCGAACCATTTTTCAAAAAAATTGGTCCTTGAATGGGCGTGACGTGAGCATCTCTCGGTATGTCCAGCTCCTCGTCGTCGTAGTAGTCCTCGAAATCGTCGTCGTAATCCAGGATAGCGTGGATCGAAGTCTTAGTGCCCGGACCACCTTCACCGCTAACTCTCGTGTACCTTCGATAAAGATAAAAATTTCATTTCATAATTTACAAATTCAACGGATCGATGTACTGAAATTATGATAATTATCGCGAATTCTTTCTTATCAACTCTGGAAACGACCTTCGATGGATTCTTGAGGAAAAGTTCGGCTCCCGGATGAAAGTTGTTCCCTCGATTTAACGCATTACGAGCGATAATGAAGAGAAGATTATGTAATAATGAGAAGCAATTAAAGTGAACGAAGGAACTGACGTGAAATGTATAGAGAGCAGTGCTAAAAGATGAGGAATTTATGAAGGAACTCGCGTGCAACGACTAGTGATGGGAGCAAGTGTATTCCAAGTAGGTTCCAATATAACCTACAGTTTCGGGCACTTCATGAATACAGATTATTTTTTGAAAAGAAAAACAATACTTTTAAGTCGACTTGAACTTAAACGAGATAGGTTCGAACTCTTAACAAGTATTTTCAGAAATGTAAGTGATACTTCCGAGTATAATTTGAACCTTGACTAATTGTAAGTAGATTCGAATCTTTTAACACGAACTAAAAATTGTGCTAGTGCTCTTGCATAAGAAGTTTAACAGTTTAAAGTTATTCTGAAGGTACATATCGACATTAACGTGCTATTTTTCGTAATGGACGTTTATATAATGAAACAAATTTACGTTTTTATTTATCTCAAATGAAATAAAATTCATATTATTTTTTGTTATATTAGAAAAAATTTGTTTATTTAGTTTTAAGTTCTGTATTTTACATAACTAAAAGATTTTTGTTACGTGCAATTGTGCGTTTTGTTTTCGATCAGAAATAAAATCAAGTTGTCTTTCAAGGTTTGAGTACTACTTTTACGAGATTTGATTCTTTCAAATGTCAAAGTACTTATACACTATCGTTCAGGAGTATCCAGACAATTAATACGATAATGCAAATCTGTGACATGTTCATAATATTTATAAATATTTTTCATACGAAGTGTCTTTGTTGTTTTTTATAACTCTATGCTATCAAAAGCGAAGATGTACACTAAAATGTTATAGAAGAACATAACTGGTATTTATTAACGAATAATACCCATCAAAGTATCATGATCAAAGTTGAATGAAAAAGTATACGTACAATATAACAAAAGGAACGAGTTTTAGCTGTTCTTTCCAACTTCTGTTGTACCTTTATGCGTCTTGAAACGCATTAAAATAAAGGTTTTACTAAAATTGAATACCACTTACGTATTATGATTACCATAGCAAAGCTCTTAGTGCAGGGCTCAAAACTCTGTCCAATTTTAATTCTTATGTACTAGTATTGGAAATTGTGAATTTGCATAAACTTTCGCAGTCTAAATATCAATTATGGAAAACAATAAAAGCATGTCTATAAGACAATGCAGGCGTTTGCTTAAAATTAATTTAAGTTTAACAGTTAAAGATCACAAACTCGAGTTCTAAAGAAGAGTAATTAAGGATATTAGAGTCTGTTACAATTGTAAAATTAGCCAAAACGGCTATTTAATTTGGTAAATAGCAGCAGCTATGATAGTCTTATTTACTGAAAAATAGTAACATTCCAATGTCAACAATATACTGTATACGGTCGCCAGAGTTGGGCTTATTTAGATAAAAAATTATTTACACGAGGGTTCTAGTAAAAGATACTTTATCTTTATCCGTTATTCGATATTGTTATTTAGATAAAAATTTTGCCCATTTCTGACGGACACTTATTGTTAGTGTAAGTACATTCTGAAACTCTACAGGTATTCGTTCTGAAGTTCCAAAACCAGTTTGTATAATTCGATTAAGGGAGACAGTAGTAAAAAGTAACAGTTTTTGGTTTTCATGAAATAAAAAAGTCTATATTTTAGCTACAGATTTAATGTTTATTTATACGGATAGGTTGGAGATTCAAGATTGGTTCTATAGCGATGTAATGTTTTTAGATTCATTTTTAAAAATGTTATGACCGTGAAAATTGATCGAGCCGCATTGTTACTTTTTGCCCCACCTTAGGGTAAGAAAAGAAAGACAAAAAATAATTAAAACTAGCTAATAATTACAAAGAATTAACATAACATTATAGTTTTCTATTTAATTGGCTCAACACAACATTATTTCTTAATAAATATATACTCGACATAACATAAATAGTCTTCTTATAATTAGTAAAACATAACATTATCTTCTTAATGAGATCAATTAATTATCATAATTTATTGATTATTTGTTATCATAGCGCTACCTCTTTTATTTAGAAAGTTATAAACTCTGTTAAAACCTACCCCTGTTACTTTTAACCCCGATCTCCCCTACATTGCAAACGCGAAAAATGAAACATCACCTTTTAGAAGTAGTAATGTAATATAATAAAGTGAAACTTTTGTATTGGAGTCACTTGGATTCGTGAGTACACATCGAACTCGAACCCATTACTAGTAACGACGATTCAGTTACCACGGTAATGAAAAGTGGAGATGTTAAACAGGGCCATTTAATAACGCTTATTCGTCTCTTCGATAAAAACGCTCGCAGTAAACGTCGAATACGTTCGTATAAGTAACGCAAGCCTGGGATAACGTGACGAAAGAAGCGGCATCATATACATAGATCGATGACATAACTGCCGTCTCGTAGTAATGGGAATCCATGAACGAAACACGTCAGACGTTCATTAGGAATGCGCGGCACGCAGGGAAGAAACCGTTCCGTCGATCGTTACATAAATAATTGTACGCACAATTAAGGCGACTGTGCGAACCGCTTTCGCTGCCTCAGCCATGACTTGTCCCGTTCGCGATGAAAACATTGATATCCCCCGTTTACAGGATGTCACACTGGGATAATTACTCTGAGTCAACTGTTACACACTGTTCCTTATAATCGCGTAACTGTGATTATCGTTGTGATCGGAGATGCTGATTATGCAATTTTAAATAAAGTTATCCTTTATGTTGTGAAAGCATGAATGTGGATCTAAATGAAACATCTAAATGTTACTCATGATTCGTTAAATCTTGCTATTGATACTAACAAAAACAACTAACAAAAGTATATTTTCTAGCTGAAAAACAGTATACATTATTAACAACAGTGCAATTCCTATTCTTGTTAAAGTAATCTAAAAATATAAATTGGCATAAGTGACCACAGCCAAGTGATTTACTAAAGATCTGTAGTAATTAAAAGCTCTTTATGATGTCTCTGAATGTTTTGTCTATGTTGCGTTGTGTCAACACATATGTAATTATTAGCACCGATGGCTTAAGCTTAAGATAAGGGTATTATGTATGCGGAATTAATTTTTATTGTAGAATCTTGAGTCTCTTGAAAAGGTAATAGTTTTAATATTTGATTACACTTATTGAAATTTTTAATTAGAAAGGAACATACCGAAGTGACAATCCCTGATTTTAATGCAACTCTGTTAGAAAGACTTATTTATTTGTAAAAAAAATCTCCCGAAAAAATCCAAGAAATTACACTCTAGGATAGAACCCAGACCTCTTTAAATCTATAAAGAACTATTTAAGTTATATAATTAATAACAAAATTTGACTGTTTGAACTATTAAACGTTTTTTAGAGGAAAAATGTGCCATAAGTGATGTTCTATTTGTTCTGTTGTAAAATTAAAATATAAGCCACGAGTTAATCTGGCTTTCAGATGCAGAAATGGTCTCTAAATTGTTTTGTAGCAACTAATTCGAAGTCCTCAGGAAACTCCAATTCAGGGGCTCATACATGGGCGTAGCCAGATTATCAATCAGAGGGGGGGGGGGATATTAATACATCGACTGCCGCAGTAAAAAAGGCTGTACGTAGCTAGACAAACTTTATTTTGTGTTTAAAGTCATAAATCGATGAAAATGTATACGTTTTGTTATAGGAGGGGTTGTTGGACATGTGTTAAATTATGCTGTAATGTTGATTTTACGTAAAATTTTGTAACTGTATTTAAATAATCCAGCCTTTTTCCAATGTGCGTGTCACCCATATTTGGGTGACGTGGCAGTCAAAGTGTTAAATGTATCACTTTTTGTGTTAACAACAAATTCTAATAGTCAAAAATGACACTAGCCAAATGGTGAAACCTATCCTCTCAAAGGCGACCTATGCCCTAACGTATCCTGAAAAGAAAATTGATCGATTCTTTAGATTCTTAAAGATACCGTAAGTTGGGGTAACATTGACTCACAAGAAAGGTGTCCCAACTCGCACGGTCCCGATTTTCATGAAACTTTGTGGGATTGTAGGGGCCATCGAATTATGCGAGAAATATTGTTTTTTATCGGCCGAGTTTCGCGTTAAAGAGGTGAAATCACCCTTCAAATTTTACCGAATTCTTCGTTTTTTCAGTATATTTTGTTAACCGTAAAAGATAGAAAGAAACTTTTAATGGGCGAGTGTCATGGTTTTTATGTATAATAATATGGTGCTAAAAAATAGCACAAAACACAATTTGTTTACGATAAACAAATTTTTTATAAGTTAATTTTACAACTTGTTCAAATTTACATGATGACAAAAAGTGACAAGCATTTCATTCAAAATGTATTGATATATCCTGCACGGCTTTCCCGCTACATTGAAAAACTTAAAAATGTATAAAAGGGGAATGATACTCCCGATACAAATATTCTTAAAAAGAACAAAATATACATTCAATGTAAATTGAGTTGTTGGATAAATCTGTGAAATAAGTAATTTGAAATAGATATGTCGTATATGTTTGTTGTTTATACATGTACATAGGTGTACAGGGTGGTCCACGCAACTTGTTCATCCTGAATAACTTTTAAAGTATGCATTTTATGAAAATAATTTTTATAGAAAAGTTGTACGGTCTGCTGGGATACATTACGTAATGCATATGTTTCTTTTATAAGTGGAGGCGTTTCGGAGATTTGAAGGTCAACTTCGTTTTTTTAAATGGAATGCTATATTTTTTATGTCAAAATATCGAAGAGCGTTACATTTTGAATAAAAAAGTCGTGACCTTTATTACTCGTAAACCTAATAATTAACGAATAATTGCACTTTGTTTCTTGAAAATGGCCTGTGCCTAATATCAAGTTGGAGATTCAATAACAGCAAAGATTTCCGTGAGACCGCGGAGTTTACGTGACAATGTTTATCAACATGACCGATTCTGCGTATGGAATCGTAATCGCCTATTCTGTCCATGATTCAGTATTGAAGTTATCATCAATGTTTATGCGTGACTACCTTAGTAAGATAAAAACAAAAATGAAATTTAGTAATTGTGAAAAAGTGGATATGCTTTTAGTTTATGATGAGTGCCATAGAAATGCAACAAGAGCTATAGCTATGTATGCCTAAATTTATCCTGAACGAAATCAGCCATGTCGATTGATATTTAAAAGACTTTGTACATCGCTTCGAAAAAGAGGAAGTTTTAATGTTACCAAACGTATCGTAACCAAAACAGCGGTAATAGGAAATCCTATTATCAGTACATATACAGCAAAACAAGCGTGCTTCGAATTCTTCATAAAGAAAAATATCATCCATATCACCTAATACTTCACCAAGAGTTGCACGGATCGGATTATGAAAATCGCGTTCGATTTTGCCAGTGGTTCGTGCATCAAATGCACAATGATGATCTTTTTTTACAAAAAGTGATATTTACCGACGAAGCGACATTCACGAATCGCGGGCAAATTAATTTCAGAAACATGCACTACAGGGCATCTGAAAATCTTCACTGGATGAGAGAAGTCGGCTATCAACGTCAATGGGGCGTTAATGTGTGGTGTGGCATATTCGGCAATCAATTAATTGGACCATATTTTATTATTGAACGATTAACGGGGAAAAAATATTCGAATTTTTTTTAGGTGATATTTTACTCGAAAATGTACCATTAAATATCCGCACAGACATCTGGTACCAACATGATGGTTTCCCCACATATTATGCACATGTAAGAAGGCTAGTGCTGGACAGTCAATTCCCCAATCGATGGATCGGTCGTGGTGGAAAATTTCTGTGGCCACCACGTTCACCAGATCTAGCGCCGCTAGTCTACTTTCTATGGGGTACATTAAAAGGTATGGTGTATCGTGAACCAACAACAACACTAGAGAATATGAAAGAACGAATTCGTGAAGCATGAAGTATGCTTGCTGCAGAAACAATTTAGAGTGCAGTTTCCTCGTTGATTAATAGATTACATCAATGTATTAATGCGAATGGACACCATTTCGAACACCTACCTTAGTGAACGGAAGAAGTCTTACGGAAATCTTTGCTGGTATTGAATCTCCAACTTAAAATTACACACAGATCATTTTCAAGAAACAAAGTGAAATTATTCGTTAACTATTATGTTTACGGCTAATAAAGGTCAGTACTTTATTACTCAAAATTTAACGCTTTTCGATATTTTGACATGAAAAATATAGCATTCCATTTAAAAAAAACGAAGTTGACCTGCAAATCTCCAAAACGCCTCGACTTATAAAAAAATGTATGCAGTACATAATGTATCCCTCCAAACCTAACAACTTTTCTATAAAACGTTTTCTCATGCCATGCATATTTTAAAAGTTATTCAGGGTAAATAAGTAGTGTGGACCATCCTGCATATCTTTTGTAGATATGTACAATACAGGGTGTCCCAAAATAACTCCGATTCCCGGAAGTGAGGAGTTCTTGAGATAATTTGAAATAACTTATTTCTTAGCAAAAATGTTATCCGAGGCTAAGTTATAGAGATGTTAACGAAAAACCCCGACCAATCAGAGCGCGAGTCTGCCGGCTGAGATCCCGCGTTAGCGTTAACTACCAATCGCAGCGCCGTAGCCAACGATACCGCGGAAGCTCGGCTTGGCAGTTGGAGTTTTCTGTGAATATCTCAACAAAGCCTCGGATAACATTTTTGCTAAAGAAAATGTTGTTTAAAATCATCCCAGGATCACCCATCATTTCTGGGAATCGAAGTATTTGGGACCCAAATCGTATTTCGGGACATCCTGTATATTTTTTTTTCTTTTGCAGTTTGATAGGTCTTTTAATATATCATTTAGTTTTCCCATTAAAAGTTTTTTTTTTATATCTTACGGTTAACAGACCATATTGAAAAACGAAAAATTTGGTAAACTTTAAGGGGTGACTTCGTCATCTCTTCGTCATCAAGTGAATGTCAGCTGAAAAAAATTGATGCTTGCATAACTCGATGTCGACTACAATCCCTCAAAGTTTCATGAAAATCGGGACCTGCGGGTTGAGAAATCTTCCTTGTCAGTCGGGAATAATTTTGTCCCAAAGTCAGAGAATGATTATTTTCGATTTTAGAACTCTTTTTTAGGTATTTTTACGTGACATATATTTTCACGTAAACTTAATATAACATATTATAGAGCAGCAAAATCGAAAATGGTCATTTTTTGACTTTGGAACAAAGTTACCTTGACTGACAATGCGCAAAGGTACTCTAATTTACGGTACCAGAGTATCTTTTTACTCCCCTCGGAAACAAACAAACATTAACAAGGGTCGTTTCTGTCAAGAGCCTCCCAAATTAGTTCAAGATTTTTAATTCAGTATATTCAAAATTATTCACCCATTTGGTCTTTCGGGATAACTCTCCTCTTCAGGTATGCTCGAGGTTCTGATGTTACTTTGATCCCTTTCAATTTGAACCCGTTGTTGTTGCTGCTGCTGTTGTTGTTGTTGTTGTTGTTGTTGTTGTTGTTGTTGTTGTTGTTGTTGTTGTTGCTGGGGCTGTGGTGCTGGAGGTCTCATCTGTTGTTGCTGCCGTGGTTGGGTCCTCCTGAAGTCTTGATTGTAGTTCGCGTATCTGGTGTCCTGCGTCGACGAGAACGACGAATGCTCGACGTACGTGTTCGAGCTCGTTTGCCGATTGAAGGTTGGCTGATGTTGTTTTTGCTGCTGGTAACCGGCCGGCGGTATGTACGGCTCATTTTGAAATGGCTCGCGGTCATTGAAATTTGGAGCTGGTGCAGGCGGAAGTACCGCGTTCAATCGAAGGTTGTTCACCGTCGAATGTCCTCCGTTTTGTCCACCGTAGAAGAACGGCGTGGGCGTTGCCGACTGATACGGCAAGGTGAAGTTGACCAGCGACATTTCTACCGTACTGTCTACAACCGAATGCGAAACATAAAATATTTCTTCACTAATAAACTTCGCCTTTCCTCATTCCTAGCTAGGATTGAGAAGGAACAATGAAATTAAGAATACGATTGACTATACTGTGGGGTTCAAACATTTCGAAGCAGTTAACACTTTATTGACCGATAGCCTATTAAGAGGCTATTAAATTTCAATGTTTATAGATAAAAAGCCGACTAAAATTGTTACGTTATTCTATTCTATACAGTTTTTGTTATTTTCCATGAATGTAATTTTTTACTGTGATTGAATTGTTTAATAATAGTTCGTTGGTTGTTGATCGTTGGATCCACTGAACTATTAAATAGCAACCGGTAGATAATGTGTTAAATGCAATCTGAGAAAATCAAATTACAGATTTTTTTATTACAATCAAAGGCTTGGATATTATAAAGGTACATATTTTTATTACAATATCAACTTGAAAGTAACAGAAAAACTTATATGTATTTATCAAATTTTTCCCTAATCAAAATGACTACCTTTATTTTTAACCTATAGAGAACTATCTTTAGGCTCCAGGGGGGTCGCTTATTTTTCGTAGTAAATAAGAGTTCTAACTGAAAAATATATATATTCATGAAAAACCCTATCCGTCCTCTAAAATTTCATAGCTTCCAAAAAAAATTTTAGGTATTCCATTTATTAATGTCTTAAAATAATGATAATGTAAATTTTCTCAATCTGCTTTAAGATACTTTTAGAATTGTGTGGCACACATTCTCAAATAACAGATCACTCAATATTATATCATATTTATTACAGTAATTGTTATTTTTTATTTGAATATTATAGTTTTGATACTTTATAGCTTCAACTACATTAAGAGCATTTCTGTTTCTAGAATAAAGGTTAATAGTAATTCTTGGTGTAACAGACATATTTCGGTGTATAATAATTGTATGTAAGTTTAACTAATGTTAAGTGTAGCTAAAAAATGATTATACTATAATTTATTTGTGTTGATTAGCCAAAATTAAAAGGATTCACTGAAAGATATTACAGTGAAAAAAGTTGAAGATACTACTTGAAGGCAGAAACGTAAAAAGTAAAAATAAATTGCCCCAGTATTTCAGTTTTCTTTGTTTAAATAGGTTCTTTTACCGTAGGTAGATAACATGACAAAGCAAATTGAAGCTTGAACAAGTTTTATACTTTCACCGAAACATTTTTGCATAAAACCCGTACATTTCGATATTTCTTCATCTCATTTACTGTTTCTTAATGAGACGATAAGTATAACTTGGTCCTTGATACAAAAATAAACGAGTTACTTTCAACGATTTGATTCTTGGACACTTCCTTCCTCGAACTTATTTCGTATCACTTAAAATAACGAAGGTATTTGTAAATCTTGCCTCGAGTTACTTATAACATGCATTAAATCTGCCGGAAAGTTCAATATTACGATATTTTCCTCGCTCGTTATACAAAATTTAAATTGTAAATCAATGCAATTTCTTAGGAAATGAGACATTTCTTTCCATTAAGATTGTAAAGTAAATGTTTTCGATGATACTTGTATTAATTGATTGTTTTGTAAATACACATAAGTTTAACTTACTACAAAGGGAAGATCAGTTGTCTTGAAGAGGAACTCGGAATAATTTCCACGACAAAAGGAAACTGCTGCTTCGTGATGTTCAATTGTGCAGATCTTGGTGTTGTTCATGTAGAGAATCACATCTTACAATCATGCACATCGTGCTCGTGGAAATATGAAATATTACTCGAACAATCCGTAAATTGTCTGTATGAAAACTGTGAATAATCCAAAATTAAAAAATAGTACACTCGATCACGTGATTCAGAAATTCTATTCTTATATTTCACGTAAGTCTGCTTTTTAAACGTGTTTTATTGAAGAACTCGGAACTCTTTTTCGTCTTCGAAAGTACGGAAACATGATCGACGTTTGGAATATTTCCTGATTATTCGGAATGCAAATTGTTCTTATTTTTCTGGCTTGTACGGGGCTGCGATTACTTGGGTATGACTAATGGCTTCTTCCTTTCGTTTTTCTTTCGACGTTGGTACTTTTGTTGCCGTGAGAACAGCCTGAAACGATAAAGAAAAGTCGATATTTCGCGGTCACGTCGTCGCTCTGACGAAAACATTAATCATAGTTAAACCTTTAACGGAAGCTCTTGTATCTGTGTGTGTTCCCTTAAAATGGTCTAAATAACACTCCTTGAAATAATTGAATCATCATTCACCAGAATTAGTTTTACAGTGTTTGATCATCATCCAGCAGATACTGGGTCAATCGCCTTTCATCTCTGTATTAGGTCTACCAATAAGTAGTTTCGAAATAATTTATACATCTGTCCTATTTTAACAATATTTGGTATTTGTTCCTATCATCTTTCATGAAATGTATTGCCACTATTGTACATATATATCGGAACTAGAGTGAATTACTTATTGGTACACCTAATATTTTGTATTTATCGATGGAAAATACGCTAAAAAGAGTATGAATAAGCTTTACATATAATATGCATATAAATTATTATTGGTATTATTATTACGAAGATTTTTATTATGCAATTTAATTACGTACATCATATTAAGTATATTTTTAAAATCTACATAAGAAACGAAGTACACTTGTTACGTATTATTCAAACCAAACTCATAAAATAATAAGGGAAATATTTGTTTTTTTTTCGATCATTCACAATACAGACGTTTAATAATAACAATAATAATGTTCTCCGTTTTTGTGTACTTAGAATATTATATTATTATATTTTTGACAAGTAATGTTTATTTTATCAGTCTGTTAACACCACAACGTCGTGTTAATATTATAAAGATATAAACGTTATAGAAAAGTACTGTTAATTACATAATTTACACAGTACATGTTCCATTATTTAAATATATTTCTATTTCTAGGAATATTATTGTCAATTCGGTTTGGATAAATATGAAATAGGGTCATAAATAAGAATTTTGTTTAAAAGATGAATATAGTTGGTATTTATGAAGCTGATATTTTAGATTACTTAATGAAAATTAAACGAAAGTTTCCCTTCTAAAGAGTTACAGTTCTTTCAATACCTAAGCTGCAATTTTTTTAATAACCCTAAGTGAGAAATAATTTGATATTGAGACATTTTCTGCGTATGACTTTTACAAATTGCATATTATTCAGGATTTCATTCTATAGCATTCGAACATTGCAATAAATGCACAATCTAATTTTATAGAATCATAACGGTGCATCTATATTTATAACCAAGTATAATGATTTAATCCTCGTACAGTGTTCGAGCCGAAGGGTCAATTTGACTCGAACTCAGACTTACAATATGTATATAGTCAGATATAATTTCTAATTATACTCTTTGACAGAGAAACGTCTAAATTCATTTGACACCAGTAGTTTACATACAGTGCCGCTCAGAATTATTCGAATAATATGTCTTTTTGAGTTTATGACAGTATTTAGACTCACGTATGTATTTTATGGCCCTTAGCCAAATGATATGTACAATATTTAGGGAGCAGGGGTATATTGTTTTTGTCAGCTACTTGTCATAAATGCATAATAAAACAAGAATATTAGTATACTACTGACTAGTGACTTCTTGTGACTATTATGAATACTTTGAGTTTTTCAGCTAATTTCGTACTCGCCAACCACAATGTACTAGAGAAATGTTTTATGTTTTATTGTTTCTTTCGGATCATATCTCTACCATGAATCTTATAAATAATCAATTTACCTTTTCCTTCTTCTTCGTCCCGTGATAAAACAACATGCGTTTAACGTGATGAAAATGCCGAAAGTTGCAGTGATTTCAATTCAGAAATGTTCTGCAGTGTGCGTTCTTCGCGGAGAAGGCTACTCAATCGGTGATATTACAAATAAACTAAAAATATCGGAGAGCAGTGTATGGAATATCATAAAGAATTCAAGAACTCAATTAAGAAATTTAAAGTTCTTTGTGTTTTCCTAAATCAATCCAGGCGTTCGGATACGTTTAAGCGGTACTGTAGGTATACAACGATCAAGCGATATCTATGTAAGTACATTTTCTTAATTCAATTTTTTTAACCGACTTCGTAAAGAAGGAGGTTACACAATTCGATGTATGTGTGTGTGTGTGCGTGTTTTTTATGTACATACGTCCAGCGATTATTCTGCAATCGAGATTTTGTATCTTGAGTACTATTTGAGGCTTTCACGGCTTGGCATCACACAGTGTCCTTGTGAAATTGTTTTCCCAACGCTTCGGAAACATTGCAGCTAGCTTCATCAGGGGGTCGAAAGACACTCAGTATCAGTATCAGTGTCTCTTTCGACCCCCTGATGACGATAGCTGCAATACTTGCGAAACATTGGGAAAACAATTCCACAGGGACACTGCTTACACCTGAAAGCCTCAACAGTGAGAACTTTTGTATCTTGTCGAGGATGTTCTCGCGGTGATTCCGTTTGCAAAAAATTTTCGATCTTCTTTGTTCACTCTAAACTATTGTTTTCATTCACAAATCATGTCCTTCCAAATAGTCCAAAATAGTTTCCTTTGATTTTTTCTTTACGGTTACTGCCTAACCAATGATATTGAAAACTATCTTACATTGGCCCATTAGTATTGCTCCCTACACTAAAAAATACAAATTAAGAAAATTTTTTGTAAAACAAGAAGATTGAAATCCATCATTTTTACAGGTTCGGTGCGTCTAGTGTTAAAAATGTACTAAGCCTGTGAAACAATATCGAAAAGAACCTTTTACCAATTAAGTGATTTATATACATACACACATCTTTCGCGATCCTTGCGTCTATGTCTGTCTGTTACGTGATACGTAACACACAGTTACGTTTAGCGAATAAGACTATGGCATTTAAGCTCCCTTACCTAAGTTTTTTCAGGATAGTGCAACGTATGTAAGGTGTTGCACGCGACATGTTCAGTTCTTTTTCTTGAAAATAAAATCTA